AGGCCTCAGACACGTTAGAAGACGGACCTCAAAGCCTTGCAGCTCTCTCCAGCCTTGCCAATCCTCTCTGAAATCTTTCTAGCTTTCTGTCAAGGTCCTGTAGTGACACAGGGTATGATGACAAAGGCAGTGATTGAGCTGCCTGGCACTAAATGAGAAATGGCAAGTTGAGACAGCGTTSTAGCACAGGCCTAGAAGAGAGAGCCTATGCTGTGATCTCAGACCCCATCCTCTAAACTGAGCACCTCTGCTCCCTGGCCCGTGTCCTCTTTGTTTTTAGTTGCTGCCCTGAGAGCCTCTGTGGATTGTTGTTTTTCCTGTGAGATCTGGAGAAGCAGGAAAAAGAGAGGAAGAAGGGGGTGGGGGGAGCTGAGATCTGCAATAAGCTGAACATGTGTGTCCTGGAGGTCTGTGTTATAAACTCAAAATAAGGTATTTAAACCCATTAGGATACTGGCCCACTGGGCAGGCATGTGATGGTGAGGAGGGACCCTGGGTTCTGCAGGACCCTGGATCCTCTGTGCTCTGTTACTTCCTTTTGATGACTTGRATGGTTAACACAAGGCACTGTAAAAGACTTTATAGTGATAGTTTTCGTGCAGTGTTTTGAAATATGAAGTATTAAGGTACTGCCATTTACTTGGGGTTGAAAGTTTTGGCAGTAATTTTTGAGCATAGGCTTATATGGTAGTAGCCAGTGAATGAAAATGCACCTTTAAAATTAAGGGGCTACTCTGTTTTTTAATTAGTTGTTTCAGTCCTGGGTTCAGATTTTCATATTTCCTGGGCAACTTGCCCAGGTTATGCAAAAGGAAAACAAAAAAAATTTCTTTGATACTGGATGGGAGGGAGATGCGGATTTCACAATTAAAGCTTGTTTTTGTCTTTGTTAGTACTTTGTCAGGCCGCTTCTTTCTGCAAATGTCCCATTGTTGTCCCTTAAAGCACATTTCTTTCTATTTCACTGCAAACTGTAATGTTGTTGCTCTGAGAGCAACTTAAAAGCAGGGTTATTTTTCCTTCCAGCCASTTAATTTATCAAGTGAAGGCATCCTTGCTTGTAATTATCAGACTTTTCAGACTTTGGATTTAGGAAAYGACAATCTTGCTTTTCAATTTTTTATTCTTTGACATCATATTGATAAAGCTTCTGTATCTCAAATTGGGCATTTGATTAGTTTTATTTATATCCAGTAGAAATTTGCAGGCGTAACAGAAAATTATTCTTGAAGATAATGGAAACACGGAGGTTTGAGTTGAGGTGTAATGTAGGCCCTTACGGTCTCTGTTTCATGAACTGATTGAAAGACCCTGCTGTTTTTGTGGACCTGCAAATGGAAACAGGCAGCTTTTATCCTAATCAGGAGCGCTCCTGATTGGAAACAAAGGCTACGACCGTGGAGTGCCATAATGTCTTCATTAATGGCTCCAGAGTGGGAATACCACCTCCTGGGAGGCTTTTAATGTTAAAATTTTTTATTTTTGCAGAGAGATTAGGTGCGAGGATTTTGTGTTAATCTATGCAGGAGATGTTTGCCTATATATTTGAAAAATCTGCAATTCTTATGTATGTTCTTAACATTTTTAAATATAATCTTAAAAAAATGTGGGTTTCTCAAATGTAGGTCACTATAAGCGCGCTCTCTGCCAAACTGCACGTGGTAGCTGGCTTATTGGTGACAAAAAGACTTGTCACATTTCTTAATTTAAGCTTTGAGAGTTGCTTCTCATGTGCATCTCTCTCTGAATTGATAAACAGCTGTCTTAAAACTGCAAAAGATTGAAAGGTGATACCCAAAGCAGGCAGAGAGAGGCTATTATGTCTGCTAAGTGTGATTTCTGATAGTTGTGCCTTTTTGGATAAGGRATGGATTTCTGTGGCTCAGGGTTTTAACTCGTGTGTCAAGTATCTGCATTTTGAGTTGACCACAGGTTTAGAAGCTTAGCTGATGCATGTCAGTTGTGAAATAAAGCATAAAGGGATCTTATTCTAGCAGTTTTATTTTATTTTTATTTTTAAATCCACTTGTTTCAAGATTTGACAGCATTGTGAGTTTGTTGGTGGAGGGGAGAGGATTTTGGAACTTGGTCCGACAATCACTTGCTTTGGGGTAGATTTTCCTTCTCTACTTTGCAGTCCACAGCACCTTCAAATGTGTGTCTCATCCCGAGGAGGAGACAGCTGCTCTCCAAAAGCCTCTGCGCTAGGTAGGACCTACGTGAGGTCGAGGCTTTCACCCAACTACGCAGCCACTCGTACGGGGAGGCCTCTGCAGAAAGTGTGGAGCGGCGGTTGCGCTTGGTCTGTGTGTTGAACTTGGGTCTCCAAGAGATCGCGTGTAAGCTCTTCTGAATCTTCCTTTCTAGTCCAAGCCCGCCTAGGCACATTCCCTCTTTTCCTAGGACTTGGACAAGTGCTTTGGAGGAGATTTGGGAAAGCAAGGAGGCCTCAGCTTGGCTCTTCTGAGTAATCCAAATGCGGTTTGGCCCCTGATGAAACTAAACAGCACGCAGAGGAATTTTTGGTTGTGAATGTCAAGGGTGTAAATTGTAATTCGGGGAATATAAATTTATACAAGGTGCGTGTAGGATTGAAAACAAGGCGAGTGCTGCTGGGAGGGATGGAAGGAGGGGTAACCCRGCCAGGCTGCAAAGGCCTTCGGAGCGTGAGGAGAGCGGCTCAGATGTGTTTTGGTGCYGAGAGCTGAGCTAGAGGAAGGGTCTGAGGACGCCTTGGGAAGAAAGCTGGAAGCACTTGAACAGTTTAGGTGGGCTGGACAAAAAAAGAGATTATTGAGACTTTCTGTGCCCTGGACTTGGAGCTCCCTGTTAATTAATGTGGGCTGCTCTAGTGCTCTAGTTTGAAAGTTTAAAAAAAAAAAAAAAAAAAAAAAAAAAACTGCATGTGGATTATTTTGGAGTATTATTTTTAAGCACTGTCTGCTGCATGTTGGCCTTGCAGAAAAAGTTTCTTGTGCAAGTTTCTGAGAAACGTGGAAAGGGGAACGTGCACCTGGCATCCCGCTGCAGCTGCCCAGTGTAGGGGGAACCAGGAAGGGCACAAAAGGCACATTTACAAGTGTTCCTTAATATTTTGCTAGATCTAGTTTAGAGCAGGAGAGGAAACCATGTTGTGTCCACCAGACAGACAATTTTTTAGGACTATTTTATGAAAAAAAGGGAAAGAAAAACACTCAAAAACTTTTGGAGGTCATCTTAAGTGTCTGGAACAAAGGCTTGCTCTTGAGGGAGGCTTGCCAGACTTKGAGAGTATTTTAAGCATTGTCCATCCCACTCTAAAAGTGAAGATTATGCAGTTAGCTGCCTGTCGGCAGGGTTGCATTAGTTTATACTAAACTTTTTCTTTTTAAACTGCCTTTGCTAAACTGGAGGAAAAATTAGGATGAAAGTCATTCTTCCCTTTTCTACTTCTGCTCTTGATAAGACTCAAGTTGATGACCCGCAACTTGACTTCTTAAAGTAAAAGCAGGTTTGTGCAGAGCCGACGGCTGATTCTGGAACCGTGGGAGCAGACGCGAGCAGCGGCCAAGGCCTTGGTAGGAGGCTGGGGAGGGGGAAGCCCTTTGTCCTGCTGCTCTTCCTCCTGCCTCTCCCAAGGGCGTCATTGCCGCAAGTGGAAAGTTCCCTGCGAGAGCCGTGATCTTCCCATTTTWATTACTGAAGGGTCGTATTCAGTCTTTATGACCCCAAGTGATGATTGAAAACCTCTTCYGAGGCGGTTGGTGTTGGAGTTTTTGGCACACGCTGCTTTTTCAGCAAGGATGAGTTGTAGTCGTATTWAAAAAAAATACGTAAGATCTCTTAGCAGGGGCATTATGAAGTCTGAAATAATTYCTAATGTCTTTGCTTTTCTTGCTTTATTTTCACAACCTTTTTTTCCCCCTCTTTTCCTCTCCATCAGTTCCTTTGAATACAACTTTTGTGGCTTTTCCTCCTTGTCTTCTTCCTCTTTGCTGCCTAACCATGAATTTGTCAAGAGGGAGCAAGGCCGTAGCTTGGGCTGGATGTGGACCTAATAATAGGACTGCTGGGCAACTACCACGCATGCTCCTAGAAATGAAACGGGGAAAAAGATCATTTCCACCTAGTATTGCAGGACTTCCCTCCATATCAGGGGGTGGATTTGGTTTCTCTAACTTGCCTCTTTTTTCTCTCTTTTTTTTTTTTTTTAAGATGCTCGGTGCTTGTAAATATAACTATATATATTTATATAAAACTATATATATAACTGTGGGTTACATTTTGCTCCTTCGGTGTCTTCAGACTGCAGATAATTCTCACTTTTTCTACAAAATGATSTATTAATTGAGTCATTGGGGTGTGTTAACGAACAGTTACCGCAAGCTTATGCAAATGAATGTGGAATTGGAGAGTTGATATATCAGGCAAGAGACCTAGGCAATTTCTTATTATTGAATTGCTTTTGAAATRGCTTAAGAAAGTAATAAATAACTTTTGCAGCAAAAATAACTGTTGCAGCAGACCTTTCAATGGGCTATGGGAATGCCTTAAAAGAAAAAGGTGTTAAAAATGGAGTTTTCTTCCTCTGAAGCTCTGTCCCAGCTCTTACCTCTAGTGTGTTGTTTCGTATGAACCCCAGTTGGCAGCAGTGAGATGTGTCATAGGGAAAGCTCGAGGCATTTGAAGGGACAGATGTGGATGTGATGGATGTGAGCAGGCACACACCTTTCAGGGGACCTAGAATGTGTTTGGGGAATGGCCTGAATGGTGACAATGACCGAAGCCAAAGCTGTGGGAAATCCTGCAGAGCAGCTATGTTTTCTTATTGTCCTGGTACCCAGTGGCTCTATCTGGGATGAGGCTGGTGGCTGCACTGAGGGTGCTCCTCTGAGCATGGAGCACACGTGGCCGTGGCAAAAGCAGCCTTGAGTCTCGCCGCTTTCGCCCCTCCTGCTGATTTTATTCCCTTATAAGCACAGGGTCTAACTGCATCTCTCTGCTTTCCCTCCCTTCTGCAGGCCGCCCTCCGGCGAGGCAGTGAGCGGCAGCAGCGCTGGCCTCGGCACCGGGAGAGGCTGCACGTCCCGTCCCTCTGTGCTGAATGGCTGCGATGGCGCCCGCTCTCACTGACGCAGCAGCCGAAGCTCATCACATCCGATTCAAGCTGGCTCCGCCGTCCTCCACCCTGTCGCCTGGCAGTGCCGAGAGCAACGGCAACGCCAACAACATCCTCCTGGCTGCCAACGGCACCAAAAGGAAAGCCATTGCTCCGGAGGATCCCAGTTTAGATTTCAGAAACAAYTCCACGAAGGAGGAGCTGGGCAAGCTGCAGCCGCTAGTGGCCTCTTATCTCTGCTCGGATGTAACATCTGTTCCTTCAAAAGAACCTCTGAAGCTGCAAGGAGTCTTCAACAAGCAGACAGTCCTGAAATCTCACTCTCTTTTATCTCAGTCCTTCTTGAAAACGAGTGATCTGTTGGGGAGGCAACCAGTGTTGGAATTTACTTTGGAGAATCTCAAACCAATGAGTGCTAATAGCCAGCCACCTGTCCCGCAAGCACCCGTAAATGGCTTGGCCAAGAAATTGGCCAAAAGTACTAATCCAGACCATGAAAACTCTAGTTCTCTGAATGGTGGGAAGTGTGCTCCCCCTTCTGCTGCCCTCCAGGGGGTCGACTGTCATGCAGGAGCCTCTGACCTGGGGGACTTGAAGACCGCGTTGACCAATTGCACTCTTCCACGCAGAAGCCTTGCCGCAGAGCACCCGACTCCGTTTAGCAATAATAGCACAGCAAACAAATCTACCCCAAATTCCATGGAGCAGCAGCGGGTGCTCGAGGGTGGCAGCGGGGAGGCGAGGTTGTCCGGTGTCAATAGTCGCTCTGACTTTGGGAGCAGTAAGTTGGAGGAGCAGAAACCTTCCCCCTTGGCCGGTCACCACAGTGCTCTTGACTCCGAGATGAGGACGAGGGCGCTGCTGCGACGGCAGGTGGATATTGAGAGCCGCGCTCGCAGGCTGCAGAAACGCTTGCAGGTGGTGCAGGCCAAGCAGGTGGAGAGACACATTCAGCAGCAGTTGGGGGGCTTCTTGGAGAAAACTCTGAGCAAGCTTCCGACCTTGGACCCCCTGAGGCATCGGAGCCAGCTGATGTTGACCAGGAAGGCGGAAGCAGCCTTGAGGAAAGCGGCAAGCGAGACAGCTGCTTCAGAAGGCCTAAGYAGCTTTCTGAAGAGTGACTCGGTGTCAGAAGAACTGGAGAGGTTCACGGCCAGTGGAATGGCCAACTTGAGATGCAGCGAGCAGGCGTTTGACTCCGATGTCACTGACAGCAGCTCGGGAGGAGAGTCTGACATTGAGGAAGAAGAACTGACCAAAGCAGACCCAGAGCAACCCCACGTACCACTGTGAGTAGCAGAAATGCTTTGCCTACTAATAGTAGAGGAGAGAGCAAGGGGAAAGGTGGAAAACAAGGTGGAAAAAATGGAAAAAATCTGGATTTTGCACAAATTTTTACTTTTTTTTGATGGGCTTGGATCCAAGAAGGAGTATTTATTAAAACTAATGCCATATGGTTTGTAGGACACTTCCTAGTTCAGGCAACACGTGTGATGTTTTAGCTAAAATCCTTTGTGTGTGCAGGAGTCGCTGGTGTTGCAGTGCAGCTGGTCCTGGAAACACTGCCTTGGTTGGAGCAGATACAAACCTAAAACATCCTGAATTGTTCTCTCCAGTGGCTTGTCAATATGTTGGACCTGTCTCCTGAAATGAAATATTTGTCTATTACGGGGGAATCTTTGTTGTAAACCAGTTGTATAAAAGAAGATCAGTCTGAATCTTTGCAGTTAGCAGCATAATCCTGATGGGGAGATTACTTTTTTCCTGAATTTCTCCAAAGGCAGAAAAAAAAAAGGGAAAGAGAGGGGGAAAAGACACGCGCGCGTGTCTTATATATTATATATTATATATATATAGTATATATATACTATATATATATATTGTATATATATTGTATATATATACAAATATATATATATAAATATATATATAGTGTATATATATAAAAATATATATTATAATATATATAAATATATATATATACAGTGTATATATATATAAATATATATATACACACACACACACATATGCATATATATATATATGTGTATACACACACTTACATACATGAAAGGATTTGGTCCAGGTGCTGATGGAAGGCTGTCACCTTCTGGAACGTCTGGTGGGAAATTATTGCTGGGAGTTTTCCTCTTGTACATGAGTTGGGTTAAATGACAACAATAACCTCATAATTAAGATGTTAACTGGATGCTATTTGCATAAATATTAGCTGCCAATTGGTGTGTGGAGGAGGAAGATCATCAAGGGAAAAGGTCTTGAGACAGGTCAAGTAACAAAGGAATTCTTTTCGCCCTCAAAGAGTAGTGTTTTCCCTAAGAATGCTTACCACGGTATTTTGAACAAATCTCTTAGAAGGCCATATTCCATGTGCAGTCTGTGTAAAATCTTGCTTGTATCAGTAGGTGATGTATTCCATGCTGCTGGGCCTGTTGAACTTGAGCCTCAGCAYGTAAAGTGCAGCTATTGTCAACAAAATGCAGCGACAGAGGTGACTGTTTTGGGCCCCCTGACTTTTATTTGTGATTAAGATTTGAAATATGTTAAGTCTTTGTGTAACKACTAGTATGTCTGGCCTGTCCTGGGTGTTCAGATCTCTGTGGAAGAATAACTCAGCGTATTTTCATACCTAGTGTCCAAAGTAATGTTAGTGACCGGTCAAGTACCGGGTGACACATCTTGCTAAATCAGTGGTCTGGGAACCCTTGGGAGTTCTCTTGTCCTCCACAACTTCAATTTCCTCCCCAAACAATCTCACATAGACAAGTGTTGATAATATATGCTTTATAGCTTTTGAATAGTACGTATTTGTACCTTGTTAGTAGAAGAGGCATATGCTGTATCTATCTAAAGTGACATCAAACTTCTTGTGTTGCAGATTTCATAGTTCTACTTCACGTGTTTTCGGGCGAAATAAAAGTTGTTTTCTGCTCATCTTAATCCCTAGAGAAAGCGCGTTATTTGGAGACACGATGTGTGAAATTCTTTGCTGACTTTTTTGCCCTTTATTTTGTGTTGGTTGTGCCTTCAAATTCCCCAACCTCATGAGAACTCTTAAAAAAAAAAAAAAAAAAAAAAAAACCCAAAAAACGATTTTAAAGCTAATAAAAAGGAAGAATGATTCTTGTGTTGTGTGGAGGTTCAGGAGCTGCTGTGCATGCATGCTGACATCCAGGCCCACCAAGCCTCGCTTGAAGCTTGTCCCTGTGGGTGTTTAGTAATTAGTGTGTCCAGCATTGACCGTCCTGCTGCCACTTCTTTGGCACCAGGTCTTCCGGAGCTCTGGCCCTGCTGCGGTCAAGGTAGATTCGAGACAACTTTGTGCCTGTCATTGCAACTCTCTAAACCAACCTTAAGAAATAAGAGCTACATCTGAATACATCTAAATATCATTCTGTGCAGAATAGTGGGAAGACACAGGAGGAGGAAGAGCCAACTTTTCCACTGGAAAGCTGCCTTGGGCCAGGTTACAGATCCCCTGTCTCACATTTGTGTGAGCATAGAAAAGTGGAGGCTTTTTTCAGGGCTGAATATGGCCAGGTTTGGCAGCTTGCTAAATTCGCATATTGGAGGGAGAGTTTTTACTCTGATTATTCAGTCTTATTACTCAAAGAATGAATATCTCAGCGAGTGTGTAGTAGTCAGCAAGACCCTTGTGAAAAACTTCAAAAATGAGTATTTTAAAACATTATCTGTTTCACCTGTGTAAGCTGAGGAAGTCATGTGGCTGCACCTTTTTGGTGTCTGTAAATAGGAGAGGCTCAAAAAATACTTGTTGCAGTCAAGGGTCTGYCTGGGGCTCAGCTGAAGACCCTGGTAGGCCGTTTGGTTTATGAGAAGGTCCCTTTTCCCAGACTAGAGTGAGTGATGCTCTGAATAGTGGGTCTTGTTGCTTGCTTGCGATAAATGTCTGTGGGCTTCAAGTGGAAGCAGGAAAAGGAACCAAAATGTTTACATCATGCTCAGATGAGAGTTGACCTTTGAGTTTTTCAGGCATAGTGGCATTTCAGAATCTGTGTTTGGTTACAGACAAACTTGCCAGCATTTTACTGTTCAGCTGGCCTGGTCTTTGCCAAAGAGCATGGTCTCCTTGAGGAACCTCAACTTTCCAGGAGCAGGAGAAGCTGGAACATGGTAGGACCTTCTAAAGGCCTTACAGATGCACTGCCCAAGCAGGTGCTGTCCTCGGCGTGGAGAACCAGTCCCTTGTGTAATGCATAAACAGAGCAGGGAGGCGTTGGCTGCACCTCCTTTGTTAAGCTCTGCCAGGTGTGGGCTTGGTTTAACAAGAGACTCCTGCTTCCCATGTAACTAATGAGGAAAGAAAGCCTGCAGACAGAAGTGGTTCATGCTGCAGCCTTGGATGGGTTTGGATTAAGGCCTGCCAAAATATATTGCACTGCTGTTTATGAAAGAGCGTGTGGAGCAGGACATGTGAATTCCTCTTGGTCGAGAGGGTGGGCAGCTGGGGCTCTGCCGTGCATGGTCACAGTGACACTGTAGTGTCCCTTAAGCAAATAACAATTATCTCAGGATAGCTCTCACTCCATATTAGCACTTACAGGTAACCTATAGCACTTATAAGTAGCACTTAGGATAGCCTATGTTAGCTCTGCAGTAGTTCCTTTTTGCAATCTGCTTATGGCTCTTTGGTTGTCTTACATTTAATCATAGACTAGTTTTGCCTGAATTTGACAGTTATTTTGGAGTAATTAGTTAAGCACATAGAGCAGTGATGTAGTTATCGCCTGGTAAGCGATACGTGATGGCTTCTCTTGCAGAACTGACTTCAGTCTGTGCATCATGTGGGAGTTTGTGAAAAGCTAGTGTGGGGGGGGGAAAGGCTTAAGAAAGAACTTTGTCAGATGTCTTACCTGGAAAGTTGCTGCTTTAATGGTGGTGGCATCGAGCTACTGAGAGCAAACTGTAGTTTCTGGTGGCTTGACTTGTTCTGCCGTCTTWTACAAGGGTTGGGTGGCACTGTGAACTGTTCAGTCGCAGTCCTTATGATGCCCACGACCGTGGTGCCGAAGTGTAATTTATAATTATCCCTATTTCCTGGTGGGAAACCTGAGCACCTCCTGCCTTTCTGCATCCTGCAGTGCTGCAGGGAATCGTGCTGCAGCCGCCTGGCTTCGCTGCTCCTCACGCTGCGTCCCGGCGCGCCGCGTGGCTCGCGGGTGCCTTGGGCTCGCGATGCTGCAGTGATGGTGGTTTTGGCAGCACGGCTTTAATTCAGATGTGGAAGAACTTTTATGCTGCTGAAGTCAGTGGTTGGTTGAGGAGCGGTTGCAGTTCGAACATCAGCTGATGGAACAGCTTTGGCTTTAGAAGTCAACTTTTTGCCCCTTGATTATCAAGCAAGGGTGTTACAAGGAAGTGTGAAGCAAGGGCATTATAAGGAAGTGTGCATCTCTAGAGCTATTAAAGAGGATTTCCTATGGCTGTGATTCAATGAAGCTGCTCTTGGGACCAAGAAAGCTTTTTCTACTGCTCAAAAGTATGATTTGCTAATTCCACTTTACACAGAGCAATTGTACATCTGGCTCCACCCCTTAGGACTTTCATGCTCGTAAATAGTGCTGATTTTCATCCCAATGCGAGTTTGATGCRTTGGTTTAAATATGTTTTTCTGTGTTGCAGTTGCATGTGGCYGAGGAGGGGTCGCTTGAGAAGGGAACCAACATTTGGTGTTTGCCTGCGTGTTGAGGAGATACTGAAGTGCAGGAAAACATCCGAGTTCCATGGGGGGCTCTGGAGACAGACAGAGCATCTTTCTGAGATGCCTTTGAACGCTGCAGGTTGCACTGCTGCATCTTTTCCTTCCGAAGTTCCCCCCGGGCCTCTGCCACCAGTTCTGCAGGATTTCCTTGGGCAGATTTCCCAGGAAACGGGCATTCTTTTGCGTCGCTGCCAAGGCTGGGCCCTCGGGCTGCATTTCGGGTTACTCTGCTGCGAGTTCAGGATCTTTCCCAGCAGCCGCTTAGAGCAGCGGGATTTTCCTGGCCTTGTCCACGAGAGGTGACGTGCAGGCCTGGGAGTCATGACGGGTCTGGCTTTAGCAGTAAATCCTGCTTTGTCGGTGTAGTCCTTACCCACAGCGGCAGACAGGAAGAAAGGGCTCTACGGGGGCGTCTTAGGGCTTGTGTGTGATGCTTTGGGTAGCTTTCCATAAATATTTACTCTGCTTTTCAGCAGAAAAAGTATCCTAGTGACCAAAGTGGCAGAAAAATGCTCTTGAAGTTAGTGGCTGTGAACCGTCGGCCTTTCA